TAAATAATTTGGTACTCACGGCATCTTATCGTCTAAAGGAAAATCAACTAAAATGCCTAAAATTAAAAAAAAAAATTGGCTTGATTTTGAATCGAGGATATCTAAAGAGCCGTAAGAACAGTTTGAACAACTATAACCTTTGTAAATATTGCCGGCGCGCACACACACACACACACACAGGTGTGGGGAGGAGAAGTAATAAAAAAAAGAAAACAGATTGAAAGAAAAGGTAAGATAACATTTTAAAAATGAATTTATTTAAAGGGGAAGAGAATGAGGAGGAGAAATGAACGGCAAGTATTTAAAAATGCAGAAAAGTAAAGCAAATTAAGAATTTTTTTGATTAAGAGAAAAAAGAGCGGAAAATGTGAAGATCCACGAGAATTAAGAATAAGAATGGAAAATAGAAGCGGAAAAAGATGAAGATGATGGTAAAGAAATCTTTAAGGGAATGAAGAAGAATTAGAGTAGAAAGAAATCTAAGGAAAGAAAAATGAAAACAATAAGCCTGAAGTGCTATGTCGAGTGGAAATGCAAGAAGTCAAAAAGGAAAGCACTGTATCGAAAGAAATTGAAGTATAGTGCATAAAGGAAGAAAAAAATCTGGAATGTACGAAGGAAGGAAGGAAGGAAGGAAGGAAGGAAGGAAGGAAGGAAGGAAGGAAGGAAGGAAGGAAGGAGAGAGAAAACGTGACAAATGTATCTTAGATAGATAGATAGATAGACAGACATAAGTGATAAGAGGTAGAATGAAAATTTCATATGTAGAAAATCTTTCGGTCCTCAACTCTAATCTGGAATGTCTGCTGACATAGCTTAGAAGTATCGAATGTTTTAGACTTTCCCACCCTCCTTTACCCTGTCTCCCCAACCATCATCCATCATTTCCCCTACTATCACTGCCACTATTATAATCCTCAGAGAAATACAGAAGGAATGAAGCATTTTCTACTGCGCATGTGACCGCGTTTGGTAGTTAAGCGCGGAGTGAATCGAATCGGCTGTTCGTAGTAACAGCTGTCAATATGGATGGTATCTAGACAATAGATTTTGCTGATGTTGATCATTGCAGATTCTTTCAGCTGGTTAAGACCATTTCTTAAAGAGTTATCGGTGGAAGTACTTATGCACACATGCTAACACCACCCAAGATTTTGCACACTTACAAACACATACAATTATACATTCACATCTGATCTTTTTATTTTGATTTTTATGGCAAAAGGCCAAAGTATAGGAAAATGGGATAGGAATTTTGTGTTGCACCTTTCTGTTAGACTTGCTTTGAAAATTAGCGTTCGAAATCCTGAATTTTCAGAGTTTGGAACACGGAACACACAATTCTCTCAGCTATGATGCATACCAGATCAAATTTTCTCTTTTTGGCTTGTTATTTCTACTTTTTAATTTTCTCTAAAATCTCCTTCCACTGATATTCTACTTATTTCTTATCTATTTCAGTTTATAAATTTGGAATTCATAAAAGATAGGATAAAGTCTTCTTTTGTATTCTTTTTTACTCCACTAATAACTGATACAATGTTTTTTATTGATTTTCTAAAAAAAAAAAAAAAAAAAAACGATTAATTTCTTTTGGTTAATTCTTTCTTAATGTTTTTTTTTTTTGTCCCTTTTGTTCCATGCCACGCGATGTTAAAAATTCCGCCTCGTCTTCATATTCAGTCAATGTATTAAGTTAATGTCAGTAAAGGTAATGAAAGAAAATAGAGAATAATTAAATAAGTACAGTACTAGCCCAGAATATCTCTATACAGTCGAGGGTGGGAACTTGTACTAAAAAAATGACTGATCAAATGTCTTCTATCAGTGGGGGAATCTAGATAAGAAAGTGCGTTGTGATTTTACCTAATTTTATTTCTCTTCAGTCCTACCTATTTGCGCACACTCATCGCAATTCTTTACTGATGTTTGTTAGAATATTCTAGGTTATCCTGATTGTAATCATAAAAGATTGGGTGCGACTATACATTACCATTATTCACGTATATCACAAATTATAAGAAAAATAAATATCGGACACGAATAACATAAGTGTACTTTCATGACCGGTAAGTTCCCCCTTGGTGGCCAACAGGAGTGTCCCGGACATCCTCCTGTGCTTTTTGTCTACACTTTCTATTTGTGCTGTCTTGTTTGGAGATTTGAGGAGACTTGCTGTAACCCAGTCTCCGACGGTGGTGCAGCTGATAAAATACTAATTTCTAAAGACTTAATAGTTTTTTTTTTTTTTATTTTTACCCAGGTTCGAATCCTGCTGGGAGAGCACATTTTCTTTATTAAGTTTTCTTGAATGCGCAGGTCAATAGACAAAATAAACACTGTTTAAAAAATAGGATATTTTACTCAAATACTAGTATCCACTAAAATACCGTATGAATTAATAAATTATTAATACTGTAATAGACTGCTGGCATTATGACTGTTGGCATTTTTTTTTCCTTTTTATTCATTTAGTGTTTTTGCTTGATGACGAGTCACTGCAGGGTTAGAGTGCCGACAGCCTTCTATTTTCTGTATCTTCAGCAACGAAAGGCAATTTTGATTCTTCCACGAATAAAGCTTACACCACATGAACTCCGAATTGGCAAAGGGGATTTTATAATCAGAACTTTCAATCTACTCGTATTTAGCGTCACTATGGAGAAACGCCTTTAAAGAGTCGTAGATTTTTTCAGTTACTTTTATCGTCTAAAAGAAACTCCAACAAAAAATAATCACAACTTACTCTCCTTACAACGATCATTCCATTTTTCCATAAAGCAGCAAACTATTTTAAACCAGTTGCTGATTTGATCAAACCTACTGGTTCCGTTTAGTATTCATATTTCTTAAACTTTACGCGTAATTTGTTTTGACAATAAATATAAAGCAAATGGTGAATTACTCAAACTTTAATAGATTTTGCCCTCCTGTTATGTAATGATCAGAAATATTGTGAGATTATTGTGGTTAAATTAACTAACAAAACCGATTTTTTACATGGAAAATTTCGGAAGATTTAATTATATCATTTAAAAAAAGAATAACTATGTAAAGCCAAGTATGACGCAACTAACCTGAAATGCTTAGAAATAATGAAGAGAAAAATCAGTTGTTAATTTAAAGTACATTAAATTCAGTAATTTAAATTAAATTACAATACAGTCCGCTGGGAAGCAGACAGAAATGCGATTTTAATCTATTTTCATTACATAAAAATTGAAAAAATGCGTGGTAAATATAAATAATTTACTTTAGTTATGAAATAGCAAAATACCTTCCAATGTTGGCACAATTATCGTATACAAACTATATTGAATTAGCAAAAATCTAATATAGTTTTAACAGAGAAATAGCACAAATTAATTAAAATTGGTCTTAAAATGTTGAATGTTCAATGGCTTTAGGATTGGTTAAACAATTTATCTTTGTATCAAAAACATTTCAAATCTAGATTAAATCTTGTGAATTTTTTGACAGTTGGTTTTGAAAAGAAATGGTTGGAAGTAAATGATAAAAGCGAAGAAATAAATTGTTTCGGAAATATGTAAGACGGGAAGATCACCAACTTGCATTCACGAATTCAGACAAAAATTAATATCAAATAGAAAAATATACTACACTGATTACAATACGGAAGACATGTTTCTGCTGAGTTGTCATTAAATGTTATAACTAAGTTAAAATTCTTAACGACAAAAAGCATCTGATGAAGCCAAAGTACATCACCAAGCTAATACTGTAAAAAATGCTGAAATAATTATTATAATAATCTTTGAAAATTTCATGAAAAATCTTTTCTTTTTTTTTCTTTTTTTGCTGTTTATGCTTTATATCTTTTTGTTTATGCTTTAAATAGTTTTGGATGTATTTCTGCACTATATTCTATCTAAATTCCATCTAATATATTTATATATATATGTGTGTGTGTGTGTGTGTGATGTCATGGTTTCGATCGCAAAAAATAATTTAGAAGACATCTACTAGAGATCCGCCACTGACTGGCGAGACACAAACAGTACACCATGGAAAACTTTCAGGCTTGCACTATAAAGCTTTGCGTTGGAGTCAGAGAATAGTTCACTTATTGCCCATCCTGCCTTTTAGTGAGAACTTAACAAAGTCTAGTTATTCCCAGACATGGATAACGACATGAGAAAAAATTACTCCGTAGGTTGAAAAAAAGGGTTCAGTTCGAAATTCCTTGAAGGTTACCCGGATCGACAGACACTTAAAGAAGGCCGGTGGACATAACAAGTGAAACGTTGTGACTGTAACAACAAAGATTAGACCGACTAAAAAAATGTAAATAGCAGAAATGAAATTTCGCAAACCGCAAATTAAATTATATTGCAAGTATAAGTTGTAAGTCTTCACTAAAATAAAAAATAAAATTTAAACTCCAATTTAAATCATCAAAAAATTTCAATGCATAAACCATTTATCTTAAATCTTTTGTATATAGAGGTTTGGAATCTGGTAGCATATAAGGCCTCTTCTATTCTCACCTAAAAATGGATCAAAATATTTCTTTGGTTTCATATCTGAAGTTTGAGTATCGGATAGATTAATGTTTATCCAAGTGCTGTAGATTACTAGTACTTGTACATATCATAACTCGATAATACTGTATTATTAAATTTAAATGAATGGCTCATATATGCTATCAAATAAGATAATTTCAAGTATTCATTCATATCAGTTGATATCTTTAAAGTTTTACAACAGTAATCTTTAATATATAATAGATATACTGCTGTCTATGTTATTTAAACGCAGCTCAGTTCAAAGACAATGGTATGCAAAACGAGATTCACAATGAGAGTTGTTCTTTATTTAATAATAAATATATTATAAACACTTTCTAAAATCGAAGTTGACTTTCTTTCTAAAAGCAAATAATGATTACTAAATACTCGTGATAATTTCATTATTATTCTTATATTCTATTATGTATACAGGGTGACGGCAGTAATCCAAACGCGCCAGAAGACCACAATATGTTGTTTCATATCCGGGGATCGACAGAAGTCAATACCCGAGCACAACAAGTAAGTTACTCAAGTTATTTTGAGAACAGACAAAAGTGTTGATGAATAAGTATTCGACTACACCATTTTTCCATAAATATTTGATTTACATAAAAAAAAAATGATTTATAGCTCTTGTCAATCTGCGATTTATCTAATAGGATTTTAAAAAAATTGACTCAATGCTCTGAGTTGCATCGTGCCATTGACAGTTCTCTTACTAACTTAAACATTTTCCGTCTTTGGTTCCGTTTCAATATCATTTTGTTTCCATATCGCATAGGTCTAGAGATATTAAAATTTGATTTCAACTTTAAATAAATCTAATCTCCGTTTAATTACTTGTTAGAATAAACTATTAAACAACACATCTAATAAAAGGGAGACTGTGTTTTAATAAGCGTACTTTAATTTTCACACAAGGCCACAAGAATTGGGCTTCATGTGAGACATGACAAGGTGGCCATATTTATCGTGTGACGACTTCCACAGATTCAGTTTCATCTAGACATGTAGAATAATAAAAAATTGATTGTTTCTATTTTGTTTGTCTTGCATCTTTACAGGCTACGATGTTGTATCAATAAGACTGTAGCCTGATATATAGGTATTATATTGAATTTTGATCTGAAATTTACACCATATAATGTTCGATTTATGTGAATTGACAAAAAAGATATATTTAAAATTATTTTTTTTTATTAATCAGAATTATGAATTTACAAAATTTGGGCTGAATATTCAAAGAAAATCATTTCGAAAAATTATGTCCGAACTTCTGATATAAGGAATTATCATTATTCAAATATTTACGTTAATACTTCTCCATAAGGCATCAGTGTACCCATTTCTTAAATGCTCTAAGTTTAAGGTAAACTAATTCTTAAAAATATATAGGTATGTAGGCCACTGTCAATAAATGTAACAGTTTTGACTATTACGACTGGCTGGTTTGTCGAAGTGCTCACTCACTCACCCACTTATCTCCGACAAGCAGGTCACGAGACATGGAGACAAAAATGTATTTTTTTATCTTTCTAAAGGTCTTCAGTCTGTATTCAAACAACTCTTGATTTTTATTTAGAGTTTACTGTTTATATATACAAAGGATGTCTGAAAATAAGGTACAAACATTTACTAATCCAACATATTTATTAGTATATGATAAAAATATAATTTTAAGGTAATAATAAAAATACACCTTTAAGTGCCTAATCTAGGTGCGTCGTCAGTGTTGTTGCTCCCATGTCACTAAAAGTTTCGGGTCTAAATAAACAAAAGACTTCTTCGATGGGTGACCCGACCGAATATGATCAGTATTCGGCCCGCACCCAGAATAAAAATTGCTACTAGCTTTAGGACGTGCTTTATATAAGTTCCTCCAGAAAACGGCAACTAATCAAGACTTCACTTGGGCTATTCGATGTTATAGATCAGGTATTCTATATATAGGTAAAATTGCTCAATATCAGGGATAAAGCGTGTAAAAATTTGGCCTGAAGATTGCGTTCAAGCTTGAAGCAGACTGTCGCCACTCGGTGTTCAACTCAATTTCCACTCTTATATTTATTAATATATAAATAAAACATTATGCATATGTTACCAGCACTACATTTCCACGTAATCACCATCGAGATTGATAAATTCGTTTCTTCAGTGCACATGCGCATAACTACTCTCCTAGAAGAACTGCTTTCCGGTTAAATATTGTTTGATGACCCCAAACAGATAATTATTTCATGAGAGCAAATGATTGCCGTTTCGCGTAAGACGTAGATCTGGGAAGTGCACAGACCCTACCCGCGATATCATCGTGTGGGTTGACGTAAGACGTAACATTGTCAATCCGTTTTGCTTGTTTTTACTGCAACAGAAAGGTATTATGCTGTTACATCAGTATAATGCCTGCCCATAAAGTACCCATGATGTTCTACAAGAGTTTCATTAACTTCCAATAGGATTGCTAGACCTTTCTTCCCATAAACATGTATGGGGCATAGGTGGTATGGTGTCTGATTCATTCATTTAGCCCACATCTTGCTGTATTGGATCAACATGTGCATCGCCGGATGATAGTTGCCATCTCTACTTTATATCGTGAAAATACAAACCTGTATTAATCCCTAGTGAAGATAGAAAACGTAATAATAATTACGATCAATACACCCTTTATTTTAGGACCTAGACACCTATTGATCTATATATTCAGGCTCTTGTAATTTCATTTTCTGTCAGGGTTATATAACAATGGACTATGAATACAAAATAATAAGTATTTAATAGCTAACAATGACCAATGACATTTTGAACAGTAAAATGGCCCAGTAAAGCCATAATTTTCACTCTCTTACGTATTTTTTTTACTAATGTTCATCTGATATAAAACTCAAAAGCCATTTGATTGATTCGTTTTCTACGGTTTATCAACCCTTTCAAAAGCCATTCAAGGTAGATGATATTTGCAATACAAAGGAAATGTGGATGATTCGATTCTGTGGACGTAGTATTGTGCGTCCCAGCTTACAAGTTGGGATAGCATCCTAATTACTTATATAAAGTCAGTTTTGAATGTAGTCTGACCTGAAAATGATATTGTTTTATATATTTCATTCAGATATTGTACTGTATTTATCCTCATATAAAATGGCCATTTTTTGTATGGAGGAGCAAGATCTATTTGCTACACTCAGCATTTCATGTCATATCTATATTCACACTTGATTTGGGTTTCTTACAGAACGTCTTACGAGCGATTTTTAAAAGTCGACGGACTATATTTGGGAAATCCATAATCATTTTCCCAGATCTATTCAGAATTCTTATTCACTTTTTTATCATACTAATTGCTACGTGTATATATTTCATTCAAACGACATACCTGAGCATTTTTCATGTGGTTTTAAATTTAGATTTATAACGCCAGTTTATTTGAAATAGGTTAATTTCTTTTACCATGAAGACATTTGAAGAATTTCGACCAAATCTAAAAGTTATCTTCTGAATGTAGATGTATATGTTTATCCAAGTGAAAGCTATAGTAAAAATGTTTTTCCTCCATCTTGAATAGATTCTCTTTTTAGTTTGTTTTACTGTCCGTTCTTTATCCAACATTCGAAATCTTATTACTTTTTCATGCATTAATCAAATCCCTGTAATTGTTTCTCTTGAAGAATGAGACTATTTCATTAACCAGTTATTGTCAATATTTATTGCCATAATGGATGTTATCAACAGGCTAATTTAAACGCACAAGACTTGAAGAGATTTATTAAAAATTTATTCAGTTCTTAAATGATTCTTGTGAAAATATATGGGAGGAATTTATTTGATAAGACTATTCGCACGGTAAATATCAGAGATATAATTTTCCTTTTGTGCATTTATTTTATGTGCGCATGCGTGTGCGTGTGTGCACGTGTATAAGTGTGTGTGAGTGTATGTAAGCATATGTGCATAGGTGTATGTTCGTGTTCATATGCTTGTGTGTGTATGCATGTATATGTATGCGTACGTGCTTGTGTATAGGCGTATAAGCCTGCCTATGGGTATATATGTCCATGCGTGTGCTTGTATGCATTGTGTAGGTATATGCGTATTTCTGTTTATGTATGATTGCATGTGTATCTGTTTTCTCTGGAACATTTATATTAATTTTACAGTGTATGCTTTGGAATTTGGCAGTTTCGTAAAACTTTACGTCAAATGCGTTTCTGTTAATGTTGAGATTTCAATTACTAAAAAATTTAAGTTAAAATATTTTATCGAGTATCTGTTCACTCATAATTTCCATTTAGTTATTTGTAGTTTTTTCTTTGTTTACTTGAGGACTTTGTTCATCATTCATTATTTTAAAAATGTTAAAATATTGAGTATTCATTAATCTGTTTTATTTATAAAATAATTTTATTTTCATATTTAATTGCTCGTATATAAGTTAATTTTGGTTAACCTCTGTATTAATTTTCATGTTTTTCTTTAATCATAACATTTACAAGAATTAATATTTCCTTTATAAATTTGTCTAGAGTGCATTTAGCTTATTCTTAAAAATTATTTTAGAATGTTTTATGTGTTTACTCTTTCTTCTTATGTCGTTGACCTAATGATGTTATTGACACGGTGATTTAAGTTCTTGATGGAGATAATGCCTCATACAAGTAGTAGGATTAAGAATCTTCTGTTGGCACAAAAGTCATCCCAGAGAGAGTTTCAGATGCAGAATAAAGAATGTAGAAAAGGTTTGAAAATGAAATAAAATCGTGGAGTTTGCCTTTTGTTGGATTTACAAAGAGCTTAAAAGAATGTTATGCCTGCAGTTCCAGTTCTGAAAATCTCTCTCTACCACCCAGGATTTAAACTGGAATTTGGGCCAGATCTCAAGAGAAACATAAGTTGATCTTTGTCTTTTGGAGCAAGCAAGTCTTGTAGAAGTAATATCCAATGACATCGAAGCGGCCTAGCATATTTTGCTTTCGTCTGGATCAAAAAACAAGCAACTTCTATTCAACTAAATGGCTTCTTTAAACGTTGTTTACGTTCTCTGAAGAGAAATCTATAAATTTTATTTTCCTCTTTGGCTTATGAAGATCAGTCAAGTATTATTGTTCATATCTGAATTATCATGTAGGCTACGGTATAATAATCAAACCTAACCTATTTAAGCAATCGACCTTTTAAATGTATTAGATTTACTTTTTTTTAATTAAAGTTGACAGTGTTGTTTCAGTTGAAGGAGTTTCTTATTATAAGTCGTTTGAAAGTTGTAACTGAATGTTTCGAAATTAAATTGATATTGTTATTCGTCGTAAGAAGCCATGCAATAACACTTTTAATAACAAAAGCACACACACACACACACACACACACACACACACGTGCGCGCTCACACACAAACACAAACAAACAAAGCAAACATACGGTTTGGGATCAGCTGATAAAGGCGATGATATTTAGTAATCGGAGTTCTCTCAACAGACTAAGGTCAAGGACATTCGTGAGCTCATATTTACCACAGACAAAAAATAACTGATATTATTAAAAACAACGACAATATTTTACGAAATTGAAACAAATTCTGAATATTTTATTAAATATTAGCATCAAACTATATTTTAAGGTAAATCAAGCCAACAACTGATTCATTAAAATAAAATGAAATCAGACATTTTTCTTCAAAGACCAAAATAAATATAGTTCCCATCTCGACTGTAACACTGATAAAATGTTTGCTACTTGAATAATAAATACATATATACCTAAATAATAATAAATACATATATACCTAAATAGACATGTATCTATGTTCGTGAAGCTTATCATATATTTAGTGTTTTATTTCGTCTCCGTGGGCGAACAAATAAATGCCTATACTTGGTAATATATGAATGTATCAGGTGAGACTTCTAAAGTCTAATTTTAATGTAAGACTGAATGAGATAATACATTATACACTGCTCTTTGAACTTCATAATGAAACGTAAACCAAACATAACACCTTATTTAGATTAACCTGTAATTTTCTTGAATGGAATAATGGAAACTAGTACAAATAAATAACCTAGTTTTATTGAAAAGTTGTCAACAATTTTTAGTTAAACCAACTTGTTATTGATGATACTGTGATGTTAACAGTTACATTTTCTAGTACAACCAATGAACAGTTGTTAATTTTATTTTGTCTAAACAACATTTAAAATATAAAATAGGTAAAATGGAAAAATATTTTGCCATTTGATTTATTGAAATGAAGAAAGAAGTACCTTTTAAAAAGATCTTGGGGGATACAGAAATACAGTAACGCTATAAAAACAGGCATATTTATCTAAAACAAAAAGAGAAAGGAAAATAAAGAGAAAAATAATTAAAATCACTATATTTGCTAATTAGAAAAGTTAATATATATTCTGAAAGTTCTTGAGAACACTTTCATAAAATCTAAACAATATTCTTTATATAAACAAAAAGAATGCACGTTGTTTTAATGTGATTAGCTTATAATATTGTATACATATATTAATATATTATCAAAATATGTGTATTTCATAGCCCCAGTTTCCCCCTTTTAGCCGTGGCGCACAGCCATTTTATATTTTCCTCGATTGAGCACTGTTAAGAGAGGAACAAGAACCGGTTACTTTTTTCTCTCCCCTTCTGAATATATATTCCTTTTTTTCGAATTGCTATTTATACGTATTGTAATTATTTTTCATATCGTTTTTAAATAAATATGTGTGACTTTATAGCATTACCCTTTTTTCTACTTCAAATAATTTATTGTCTAAAGATTGTTACCGCCATTTTTCACTTAAACATCTTTACATTTAAAAGAAAAATGACAAGAATACTTTTCTCTTGTCAGTTCATATAATAGTTCAAATGAGAAAAGTATCTATTTCAGAAAAAAAAAAAACGTCACTCTGTGTTTATAAGAAAATTATTCTTATACATACACTCACGCAAAAGAAGAGAAAAATAGTTCCTCTTCTTTTATAGTTACACACACAATGAAGATGTCCTTGGAGAAAATTCACATAAGCCACAAATGAGTTATCACTTGATCTTTGTAGTCTCTACAGAAGTTTCAGCCTCTATTAATGGTTATTATTCCCGTTATAAAAAAAAAAAAAAAAAAAATGGTAATATTTACCCAACCACAGACAACAAAATTCAATAATTTCAAGTAACATTGTGTTTTATTTTCTTGATAAATACATATTAACAAGAATTACTTCACCAGTGATGTATCTAATTTTTCTTATGAATAGGATGTGTACTTTTGCAAATACTGTTTACTTCTTTCTGTGATAAATGAAAACTGACCTTTTTTCCTTCAAATTGAGTGTTTACGGCTACAGAACAGCCATAGCAATTTGATTCTTGTCTCCAAATAAGGTTTGTTAAGTCTGTTTGGCTCAGCGTGAAAAGCAATCCGCTTTTCAGCAAAACCGGCCGAAATTGTTTTCTTAAAATAATAACCGAGAAAAGTGAAAAACAAATCCAATTTATCAGTCTCCCTTTCTTTTCACCATTTCATTCTCTTTTTTTTCTTACTATTACTACTACTACTTCTCCTCATCCTTTTTCTTCTTCTCCTCCTCCTCCTACTTCTTCTTCTTCTCCTCCTCCTACTTCTTTGTATATTTAACATTGTCATTTTCATCAAGTATCAATAACAAAACGATAAACAAAATAATTTGACCAACTGATTCCAGGAAAATGCTTATTGACTTTATTTAACAAAGTCAAAATCATTAAAAACTTTCATGAAATTTTCATTGACGAGACATATATACTACGTAGATTTGTAAACTTTTGTCTGCTACGTTTGTAACTTTTTGTTGTAATAGAGTTTTTTCATTGTGCTGTCTACACCAGGTGGCAGTGTCTTTGTAATGATCATACCGAACTGTTCCATGATGATCGAAAGGTGAAATAACAGAGTACATCAATAATAATTAGAAAAATATATTTAAAAACACAGGTGTGAAAACCTAACAATAGTAAAGACATAACAAAATAAGCTATTTTGGTGGGGTGCATGGGTAATCTTTTTAATTTAAAGTGAAAGAATCCTTTCGATAAAATTAATATAAGTAAAAACATAGATGGGTGGTTGCTTCGTTGTCTACGGCTTGTCAACTTTTTGCAGGTTATTTAAAGCCAGAAAATATTTTTTAGAATGTAAGAATTTTTTTTTTTTTTGAGATTTAATAGTTTAGTGATGCATGCCTTACTAATTAAAACATAGCTGGGGGAGAAGAGGTGGATTCATACCTTTCCCAATGGTATCTGCGCGTAAATGAATGTAACGAACCCAATGAGAACTGGAACCCGGCACTCTGATCAGCAATTCCCAGCCATTATCCATTCATTACACCATCCACACATCCAAGCTTACAGCAACTAGTATTCCCAAGCAGACACCCCTCTTACCAGGCTCGACGTTACTTAACTTCGGTGATCGTATGGGGGCTTGTATCTCAAGGTGATGTGATACTAAGCCTAAAAAATAGTAATTAAAATAAATAGGTATAAAAGGAGAGAATAAACCCTTTCCAACGGACTATATATATTGCTATTGAATTTAAAGATCTGCTTGTTATGCTTAAACATTTTAATGTCTAAAAATCAAATTTGAAGATTTCGTTTAATTGATAATCATTCTTGAAATAAAGAATTAAAGGAATAATAAAATATTGTTTTTAGCAGTGGTTATAATATACAGTCTTCAGAGGCACAGAGACGAAAATAAAATAAGCACTATTTTTCTACAGTATGATACATAATGTTCATTTATCTTTTATTATGAAAGTGTTATCTTCTCTAAATGTTCGTTTAATTCCGTAATGGTTGATAATAAATGAATCCTGAATTTATTTGCAAATTTTATTTTTTGTTTTCAGGTTGACGTTGATGCATCTAGTCTCAACTCGGGTGATGCCTTCGTTCTAATTCACGGAGAAGAATCTTATTTATGGATCGGAAAAGTACGTGTCTAAGACATTGAAAAATCTATCATCACTCTTAAACATTTCCCTCTCCCTTTCTCAGTTTATATCTCAAGGTTTTTTCCTTGCTAATAATATCACATCTCTTTTTTGTTTCTCTCTTCCTCCCCTCTCTGTCTATGTTTTTTTTTTTCACCGTTCTCTTCCAATACAACTATTTTGTTATATTATCGTGCTTTTTTACCCTCAATTTTCTCCGCTTTTTCCTCTCCTTTCTCTCCTCTCGCTGATTTACATACAATTCATTTTCTCGATTCTCTCTTCTCACTTTTTCCTCTTGATTCTTTCCTTTCACTCACTTCTCTCCTCTCGCCATTTCCTTTCGATTCTTTCTCCTTGAATCTTTCCTCTTGATTCTATACTCGCCTCTCCCTTCTTTGCTCATCGAATTCTCGTTAATAATTAAAATAAATACAATTTTTACTCATTTATAATGAAATCTATTGATAAAATGTCATTGTTGAAATAATTTTTCCATTTACACCCTGTCATTTGCTTCAAGTACAATAAAATCGTCAAAATCACGTAAAAAAAGTTCAGTTTATTTCACTTCTTTTATTTGTTAATTTAGTTGGACATTTCATTGACCTATGTTCTAATCTCAAATTTCTAAATAAACAATAGTGCTGTTTAAAGTAAAACCTACTCAAAATTTCTACGTAAAAAAACCCGTGATTGTCAAAAATACACCATTTGTTATTGGGTTAGATGAAATAAAATGTGCTCATTCGAAAAAGTTACAAATCTTTCCAAAATACATTATAAACTCAGTAACTTATTATTATTGTTAGTAGCAATATTGAGTGAGACATCAGCGAATCAAATTGATACTGACGTACAAATATACGAAGCCCAATATAAGCATAATGACGCTCTGTTTGAGTATACGAGACAGGCATCATAGTCAAATGTGCGTGATATGACGAGAAGTTTGATAAAATCAGTACATAACCATGCCAGTGGAACCCAATTAGAAATACTTTCAGTTAATTCAGTCACTTTCCCACCAGCATAACGTAGTTTCCCCGTGCTTTTATACTTTTATGGTAATTGTTCTGATGAACCATCCTCTAGATCCTCTAGAGAAACGTTTACGATCAGCCAAGTAAGCCTACAAGATAAAACATGTACATATTAATATCTTCAATTTCCAAGATCAGAAGCCATGAGAACCATGCTTAGTGTAGCTTCATTAGGACATTATTTATTATTATTATTATTATTATTATTATTTGTTGGTGTCGTACATTGACGTAGTCAATGGAAATTATATTCTTGAGGTATGGTGTCAACAAGAATCATATCTACTCATATTGGAAAAGATATTGTACATACGAGATGTCCTACTTGTAAAAACACCATGGAGATATTTCACAGTGTGCATTTATTGTTATGGTATGACAGGCGTTTCCATACAGAGAATATTTGGCATTCATTGATCCAACAGTTCCATTTATAAAATCTTTTAAAACAATAAATCTCTTAAAACACGTATTTATAAAAGCTTTGTCTTAAAATTGTTTCTTTGGGAAATAGGCTTCTCAAGTCCGCTGTTACCATTGTTTCTAGTATTGATGGGAGATTCCTTCCTAACATTTTGCTTAAGTTAGTGTGGAAAGTCAAAATCCTGATTATATCATTATTTACCCATCTAGTTACGTGACCGTTTGGTTAAAACGTTCGCTTCCCGACGATGAGATCTAGGTTCGAATCTCATCATCAAAGTGACTTTTAGATGTTGTCAGCCTGGATAACGTGCCTGAAAACTATACCACGGGCTGACCAAAGCCTTGAGAGCAATTGGGTAGACGGAACTATTTGAGAGCCATCGATTGCTGTGCTGGTACGAAGTCACACGGCCCTGTTCAGTCTGTTGGTCCGTTCAGCATAGTTCCACTATGAACCACAGGTGGGCTCTGAGCAGAAGCTTTTAAAATATTTTGGCAACCGCCCTAGTAGACAGGTATACTCGGATACCACCACACAACATTATGTACTATCCATTTAATTTATTGCTGCTGTGGAAGTTTTCAAGTGATGTGATCTTTGTTATTTGGTAAAGTTATTAGTGATTTTGTAATCTGATCTGATGAAGGATAGTCTGATTAAGGATTTATTCTCTTGAAATCGTTTTCAATCATGGATTTGAGGAAACGGTTATGTACAACTGATAGTTTCGACCTTTCTGAAATAATTCGACGCCATGTGTAACGTCCATATGAGAGTCAAAACATGACGAGATATGCAGCTTTATACAAAAATATTTTTTTTTTAGAAGAATACGGGAATTTTTCTAGTTTCAACATTTCCTATAAAATATAATCGTATTCACTACTTATGTCAAAGCCTCGTGGTTCAGACAAATAACATCCAGTTTGTTGATTGTTATCCAATTGAAGGTTAACTTTTTAATATTTTGACGGATATTTTTGAAAAATTATATCTATTTGCACTTCTGATGACTCATGGTTAACTGAATGAGCCAAGGAAATACATTCCACTTCACAAATATTTTTGGTAGTCAACAAAAAGAACAAGTTATTCTCAGTTTGCTTTCGCTGCTAAAAATACCCTCACTAAGTAACAGAAATCTAAATTTTCCATCCACAAGTTCTGTGACAAATTAACGACATTGTTAGCAAGGAAGACGTTCTCTTCATGAATATTACACGTACTTTTCTAGTTAAAGTTTTTATATTCATTGTTAAAAATAAGAAATATTGTTTTCTTATTATTCTAAAAGTTTACAGTTTAAACGTCATTCTCGAACTTATTTATGATTCTGTTTGATAATTCATTGTTTTTCTCTTAAAACGAATTTAATCATTTTTAATTTAATATAATAAAGATTCACTAACATCCTCATCTCTCGGGTATTTCAAAATTTACACAGTCCATTCATAAACCTTTTAATAATTCTTCAATTTTTCACAGTGCAACTTGTGCTTCTTGTATTGAATTTTAATCCTCTTGTCAACAATGAGCTATTTTTCGTTTTTAAATTGTGTCACTTTTGTCACAAATTGTTTTCTCTTGACGCATTGGGAGTTATCGTCTTCATATATATTTTCCCTTGCATATCCATTAAATTTGTTTTATTTGTCATACAACATCGACGTTCTTTCTATTCTTTTTATGTTACTGCCTTCCGAGTTTTGATTTTCTATTTAATAAATTCTATCGAAAATGATTCTTCATTGATAATAATCTTGCCACTATGTTTATCTTTTCTTGAAATCAAAATAGATCCTCAGCCTCTAGTTAACTTTTTTTTTGTCGGTTAAATATCAAAATCTATCAAAAATACTTGTTTTCTAAATATATTATGCATGATTTCAGTCAATTTCTTCAACTTTTTAGGGGGCCAGTAAGAACGAACGAAAAATGGCGAAGAATGTGATGATGTATTTGACAAATGAAAGGTGAATACATACTTTTAATGTAACTCATTATGTTTTGTCTATATTTTCATTCGGGCTGTAACTACAAAAATCAGGTACGTTTTAAAAATTTTGAATTCAAAATCATTGTGACGCTTACAATACCTTTGTACATGACTTAAAGTTAAACACACTCATATACACGTGTATATGTTCTCGCTCTTACCAAAAACATTTGGTAAAATCTTTCGAAGTAGACGGGAAGTGCTAAAAAGTTATCGTTGGTCATCCAGTTACCGAAATGTGGTTAAACGAACACCAGGAATTTTGTGTTTATATATATTGATGTTGCATTGGTTTTGAGAATTTAAATACATTATAGAATACCAATTCCAGATTCATATATGACACATAGAAGCATTAGAACTTCTAGCCAAAAATAAAGAAATTTTCATCACCTCCTTGTAAAAAGGGCTTGGGATTAATATCATGAATAGGACCACATATGCCACGATACTAAGATTTATAAAAACATTGATGGATACAAAATAATTTCAGAAAGGCAAAAATAAAATAAAGCAATTAGAAAGTTAACTAATAATGAGGACGAGTCATGGTTTAAATTAATAGAATACCAACCCTAAAATATCCAGACTTTATGTAAAGGCGACTCATCATCTTTGCAATTGATAAACAATAGCAACACTTTTAAGACGACTTCTTGAAACAATTATTTCATCACAAATATAAATATCAGTTAAATTAGTGAAAAAACTAAGGGGATAAGTATAACAGACAAACCTATGTCTAATTCAGATGTCAAATGTCTTTATACCAATGTTCCTTTCAATAAACGCTGGAATTAAATTTTTAAAAAACTCCAGTACAATCAAAAATTAACTTTTACCTATCAATAGATAAAATTATAAAATTTAGCCGATTCATCACAAACCATTGTTACTTCATTTTTTTCCCAATGATTTTCATAAGCAAACATTCGTATTACCAATTGAATCATTTCTTGGCAAAGTTTTAGCTTGTCCTTTCTTAGAATTTCTTGAATCTGATTCTTTTCAAAATATTTTACCTAAATCATATTTACGATATATTGATGATGCTTTATGAATATTTCCCCACAAAATAATATTACATGTTCTTGTAAATAAACTAAACAATATAAAACGTACAATAAAATTAACTTATGAAACATAAATACACAATATATTTCCTTTCCTCAATATCATGTTAAACAATACTAATAATGATCTAAAACTATCAATCGTAAAATTACTAATAAAATGATCTCATACGCTATTCACGCCATTACAAAAAAATAAAATCTGAAATAATTACCGGATTCCATTTAAGATATTAGAATTTATAACATGAGGAAAAATACATTGAAAATAGTTTTAAGCTTCTCCAATATCCTAATTATTTAATATTTAATGCGAAACAAAAAACTCATCAAATTTATAAAAATAAGAAATTGAATTTAAACTAAATAAAACTAGATATATTATATTACCTACAATTTCTATCAGGACTACAATTGAAAGAATTTATCCAAACTTAATAAAAAAATTCGCTACAGCTATTTCTAAAACAGTAATAATGCAAAACAAAAATAACAACCGAAAACCTGAAATAGAAATTTACATCATAGACTGTAATAAATGTCACAGAACTTATATTGGTGAGACTTCGAGGAATTTGGGGAGACGATTATAGGAAAACAAATGAGATCTTTTACAGGACAACACACTCAGTAATGAATCTGACCATAATTTTTAAGTTAATAATTTGAAAAAATTAAAAACAAAAGCGTTATGAGACTGAATAAAATCGGTTGAGCGTTTGCCTCAAGACACATCGATGTTTCTATGTTCGTTATATTTTATTGGTTGACAATATATCATTTACAAAACTTGTAAGGAATATTTTGTACTCTTTTCTTCATTGTTTATTTACTTTTCTGTTTTTTTTGTTTGTTTTTGTTTTTTGTTTTTTTGTTTTCTTTTAGTTTTTTTTCTTCATTTAAATTTCTTCTATGTTTCTATTTGTTAATTTGGGTTCGTTTGCTACTTTCATTTCTTAACCGTAAGTTACAATATTCTTTCTACTACATTCAGTATGTCTCACTTATTTAATTTATATCTATTAATGTAGTGCAACTAAAATATGCATTCTATAAAATAGTGAATATTTGCAGTAAATGAACAATAATGTGCTTTTATTTATTTTAATGACTTCAAAATATTCACTTATCAAAATTTAGTTTGCTTTTCTTTCCAGCGACCCGATTATATTGAGCGAAGGAAAGGAACCGAAAATGTTCTGGGAAATACTTGGCGGCAAGAAAGAATATTCTCAAATGTGCAATGCTCAAGTAAGTGATACATATTAATATATATTTCATATTAGATTTCATACATTATATACATTAAAATATTATATATTATGGGTATATATATATATATATATATATATATATATATATATATATATATATATATATAATAAGTAATATATTATAAATTCATTTAAATGAAAGCCTAAAATAAAATAGCTATTTAAATCTGTTGTGACTGGACCAAGTAAATTGAATTTGTTCCTACCGGAAATTTTGAAAGATTAAAGAGATTTTAGGATTATGAGAATATTACATGTTTTCGTAATTTTATATATATACATATAGATATATATTTTCACATATATATATATATATCCAGAGTCAATAGATTGTTTCATGCTTGAACGCAAAATATGTAATCGTACAACGCTCTCTCCGGTCGTTCAAGGCTTCCAACACCGCGCCTGGTCGCTGAAGTGACTGCTTCAATCCCGAGCTAACCTTATCCCACGTTGTGATTTAAGGTTGATCACACGGCAGCCAAGATCGAATCGTCGCAGGTATCTTCGTGTTCGGCTGAAGACGCACAGGAAAAAATAATAACACTCGAATAAATTGAAAAAGTAAATGCTGTTTATATCAGTCTTTCGTACAATAATTGAATATATCAGAGTTCACACGCAGTAATTATCAGCCCAGCCCGCGTCTAAATCGGAAGTGATATTATCGTTATTGACTTGGAAAAGTTTAGTTTGCTGCTTTGGTAAAGTTTGGCACAAGGCTGAAGTCGGAGTCTTTCGTCGACAGATAATCACGTGGGCCTCTCTCTTGTCTCTGGCCTGGTCTCCGTCTCTTCTGACTAATTCGCTTCGCACATTCGTATTTATGAACATTCGACAAACTGGCATGAGGGGGAGGGGGTGAAAGGTAGGAGCATTTCGGTGAATTCCCTTTGGCTTACATCATGACTCTGGGAAATTCACTCTCTCCACTCTCTCTCATATTATTACCTCTAACCAAATCTCCTTAGTGAACTTTGTGTGGCTTATCCACCTGCCCTTGGCATTTTAATTAAACATTCAACCAGGAGAATCAACTCCAAATTCGTTGTTTACGAAAAATTGAATTTTCGCTTTACAGCTTGCATTTACATCTGTGTATCAATCAACATTGCCCCATAAGTCAGGGTCACTTTTCCATTGTTCAAACTGATCGACATACAATTCAAATCGTTTATGCATGGATCAAATCCTCAATTCTTCCCACGGGTTTTTGGTATTAACCCTTCTCGTTTTAATGTCTCTCAGAACCTAACACTTTCTTATATTTTAACAAAACTTTCTTCCGTTTTACCGCAGCAACAACAATAGTATCGCATGATCAGTGGTGCATTGTGTGTAGCCTTGTTGTAACGGTTATTATGGTGGGTAGTAACGGTTATGTTTCGAATTATTCTAGGGGCTATTCCGTAGAAATAGTTGTGAAACTGGATGCAGTATTTTGGCTATTTATAGTTTTCTTTATTAACTTTTTATTTATTATAGATTATTTCATTTTTGGTTGTTATTATTATGTTTACTTCTGTTTATTTGTGCGTTCGTGGTTTATTAATTTGTTTATTATTCACTTAATTTATTTACTTATTTATTGGTTTGGATTAATTTATTTTTCCTATTTTGTTTATTTTTATGTAATTTTGTTTATTCTTGTTCGTTTATAGTTTTAGATTTTTAAGTGACGTAGTAAAAATTGTCTTCTTGTCTGCATTTTGAGATGAGTTTTAGTCGTTTATTTAGTAGTTTGTGTTGGTCTGGGAAGTTAATTATATCTATTTTCTCTTTCAGATAACATTTACAGTTTTGGGATTTATTGTTGCAGATGGATGTTGTCTTCCTTATTTTTCTATATTTTTGGTGGTGTGATTTTTTTTTAATCACCCAGATATGTTTAGAAAGCATTGTGCTGTTCATATATTTACTATTTGTACAGGATGTTTTGTGTGCGTAGTTTCTTTGTCTCCAGGGTTCTTTAGTTACTCCTATGTAGATCTTTTCTTCGCTATCTACTGATTTTACAGTGGCTTTGTATATTACATTGTCCTGCAAGCAGTTGCCGTTGAAGGGGCATTCCTCATATGTGGGTTTGACTTGTGCTGGTGGTGTGTTATGCTTTTTTATTATTTGTGTCATTTTCTCGGTGCAAGTGTAGCTGATTTTTATTGTGTTTTGGTTGAATATCTTGTGGAGAGCACTTGATGCGGAAAAATGTTTGTGTATGAGTTTAATAATATTTTCCTACATTTGTTTTTACGCTTTTCTTGTACGGTGGGTTCAACCATATGATGTTTATTTTCCTGTTGTTTTTTTTTTGTGATGTTATATGAGTGTTTCCGGAAATCCACTATGTTTTAGGACTCTTTCATGGTCTATCTTGGGTTCACTCTACGCTCTATCCCTGATATTGAGCACTTTAATCCATAAATATAGCATGTCTTAAAACTATATTTCATAATTATATATATATATATATATATATATATATATATATAGTGTATTTGGGCATTAAATTCTCATTTATATTTGAAGACAAAAAAGTTCATTCTTAAATAATTTTTAATTTGACTTCGTTTTGGGTCATTTTTCTGGTTTCCGGGCAAAGTATAAATGTAAATTTTCTAGTGTCTTCTGAGCGTTTCTGATTTTCATAAACCATAATATCCATATCCATATTGTAAGTATCCATAGTGTTTCTTTGATGATTTCCAATCAACATATTTTCACGCGCCAATGTGTGTTGCGTCGCATCGCGTTTTTTTTTTTAAGTAACGCATCTTATATCAGCTTTTGGTGCCTTGTAATTTATTCTTGTGAAATATATTTTGTTCCTAATTTGTATGATTTTTTGTTGATACTGACTATCCACTGTAATAACGTTTGAAGCAATAAAAATGTCTGATTACAAATTCATGAATTCTTTAGAAAGAAATATATATATATATATGCGTATATATATATATATATATATATATATATATATATATATATATATATATATATATATATATATATATATATATATATATATATATATATATATATATATATGTACGTGTGTGAATGTCTGTGCCTGTGTTTATGTATAAAAGTGGACACTGAGGTCAACACACATGATGTCCAGGTATGGCGGCACAACCTAGCATTACGTTTACATATCCCATGATTTTGACATGTCATTGTATGTCTGAATATATTTTTTCAAACAAGTTTTATTAAACAATACCGACAATGTCTGTCTGTCTAAATTGTTATTTATAAAATGTTGAACAGATGGAATTATTACTGCCTAAATGCACCTATATATATATATATATATATATATATATATATATATATATATATATATATATATATACCATAATCCTGTACGCAGATTTTTTTATCAAAAAATGTGTTGAAAGCTATGCTGCGTCTTAAACTTTAGTTTAGAGCCCAATCCCATTTTTTTTCAGAACTCAAAATAATAAAATCAGGTCAAGTTGGATTTATTTGTTTACCGGAGCGATAATATTTATCGAATGGCGTATTGTAACAAATGGAGATAAATCACACTTACACATTGGGAGGCAGAATGAGTAAATCAGTACTTCAAAACAAGTGGAACGTCGTCACCTGGGAAGAGTTGAACGTCGCTATTATTGTCAAAGCCTTCAACCTCGTACAAGCTCGATGGCACCGAAGCTGACATCCTATACGAGGAACTTATGAAAAAACAGAGGTACCACAAGAAATCAATGATGACAACGACAATCCTGCCTTGTTAGTACCTAGATGGAAGACCACTTAGGAATACCAGGTGCTGTAAGCTTTTGGATGTATAGGTTGGGTATTGGGTAATGGCTCAGAATTATTCATCGGACAGCCGAGTTTCATTTTTAGTTAGGTTTGTTATATTCACTTAGGCGAAAATAACCTTTGAAAAGACATGAACCCACCTCTTTTCTCCCCAGCTATGGGCTAATTAGTAAGACTTGTATCAATAAATCATTATCTCCAAAAAATTCTTACAATCTAAAAAATATTTAAATAACCAGCAAAGGGTTGATAAGCCGTAGAAAACGAATCAATGAAAATTGATTAATACCAGTATGAATGGAATCCATCGTAAAATTTTTAATTTTATTCAAAGTGGAAGGTTTTGTTTGAGAAAGATAAGTTTGTCTTATTTATTTTATAATCCCTACGGACCCTTTTCAAAACGGAACAGTAATACTTTTTATTATGTCTCTAATATCCATAAATATAGATGTTTTCTAAACGTAGCTTAGATGAGACACAATGCCGAAAATATGGGGCACACAGTGAGGATAGAAATCATTATTCAGTCGTAACTGATCTAGCGAGACAAGCTTGATAACCATTACACTATGTGGAAGAGCCCCTTATATCAATGAATAAGTAATTAATTTTAAACATCAAAAGAAATATTCACAGTATGTTATAATCAATTTTCATATTCCTTCCTTTTTTTTCTTTGTGTTTCCAATGTCTCCCGCTTTCCTCGTTTTTTTCTTTCATCTTTTCCCTCAGTCATAACATTAAATATCACTCTTTATTGTAAATTATTTATTACTTAAAATTAAACAAGTAATTAAACAATTTTTAGAGAAAAAAGACTGAACTTTTGCAAGTGCGGCTGCATTCAGTTTCAGGCTAAGAAGTTTGTGATCCTCTCTTATGCATGATTTTTAGCCTAAACGATTATCAGCTGAAATCTAATCTGAAATTTCAATCTTTGTGGGTAATGGAGACAAATTAAATTAAGTAAATTAGAAAAGATTATATTGAAAAATAAATATTTATTGTATAAAATAATGGCATTTTTTATCGTCACGGTAAGGATTTGTCTACCTACGTGTGGCGTAACGGTTAATGGTCCGGAAAATGGACTCGCCATACAGTATTCAAATTCTGGTCGAGGATATTGTATTCACTTCACAATTATGCTCTTGCTAAAGATCTGAATCTGTTTATTCTTCC